GACCCAGCAGAGCCAGCAGCTGCCAGGAGCGGGTAGGGTGGGGCAGGGCAGGGCTTGGGGAGGGGAAGCAGGGTGGACAGGCAGTGACTCGGGCCTTCCAAGGAGTCGCTAAGCCCAGCCCTGCCAAGGAGCACAGACCTCACAGGGAGTGGGGGGTGGGGGGATGTGGGTGGGACATTGGGGTATAGAATTCAGGGGTGCGAGACGGCCTGGGGCACAGCTGGGATGCTGACAGGCAGTTGTGCGGGCGGGGTAGGGGCTGGAGGTGGCCCTCGCGGGAGTGTCTGAGGTTCCGGGAACCTGCGGATGGTGGGGCTGGAAGGAGAGCTCATGGCCAGGCCAGGGCCCCAAGCACAGGGTGTACACGGAAGCTGGGTAAATAATGGGGGGCCCGGAGCACGGGGTGTACACGGAAGCTGGGTAAATAATGGGGGGCCTTCGTGTGTGCACTTATTCTTTCATTCATTCAACAAAAATGTGCTGCGTGCGAACCTTCAGTGAGCGGGCAGCCCCTGCTGTCCCACCGGCTGGAGGAAGGTGGAGGCTGTGGCCTGGCCCCCAGGAGCCGGGAATGGCAGTGGGAGGGCTCACTCGGCAGGTGGCATTGGCTCATCAGGCTAAGCCAGGGCCTCTGGCTGACATGGGGAGGAAGCACCATCAGTGTTGCAGCGGGGGGAGGGAGCGGGGAGGGTGTCAGGAAAGCGGCTGGAGCAGAGAGGGGGGCGGGATGGAACCGCTGCCCCTGCCCGCCCTGCAGCAGGCCCCGGTCACACGTGGGCAGCATAGTCAGAGGATTGGCGCCTGGAGTCGTCCTCCTCTTCCCGCTCTCTGGGCAGTTCCCTCAGCTGCTCTGGAGGCTCCCGGTAGATGGACCGATTCCTGCGGCCGTGAGGACAGAGGGAAGGTGTGCCCCAGAGCCGGGCAGTGCCCCTCAGGGCCTGCCAGCCCCACCCAGCGCCCCTGGCCGAAGGGCGGGCTCAGAGAGGACAGGAAGGGGCCCAGGCTTGTTCCTCCCGTGAGCTGAGGGACCCGCCGGGGACAAAGGTTCCGGCCACACTGGGCCCTGGCCCCCACCGGCAGCCCTGCCCTGAGATCCACGGGCCTTGGCCAGGTCTGGGGCTGCTGTGCTGATAAAAACGAAGCTGTCCCGGTGTGAGGAGCTGGGGCCACCTTCCCCACCTGCCCAGACCGTGCCACCGGGGGCCACACTCACGGCCTGGTCTCCTGGTCCTCGCCCTTCTCCCGGCAGCAGCAGCAATAGACCAGGACGCCTATGATGATGAGGGCCGCCACCACGCCGCCCGCGATGCCGGCGTACAGGGCCACGTTCATGGAGGCTGCAAGGGACAGAGCAGCTGCACTGCCC